AAAACATGGGTAGATGAACGATGAGAAATGAAAGATGGTATGAGTAAACATTGGCAGCTATAGACTTAGTGCCTAATAAATAACATCGACATTTATGGAGTTAGTGCTTATTAGATAAACATTAGTAGCTATGGACTTAGTACCTGTTAGAGAAACACTGGTAGCTATGGACTTAGTACCTATTAGATAATCGCTGGTAGCTATGGACGTAGTACCTATTAGATAATCGCTGGTAGCTATGGACGTAGTGCCCAATAAATAAACTTTAGCAGCTATGGATTTAGTGCTTTACGAACGAGCATTGGAAGCTATGGACTTAGTGCTTGTTATACAAAACCTGAAAGCAATGGACTTCGGAATGAACGAATGCAGGATTAATGATTCTTAGGGTAGACCCTTAAGAATAAAGAGGATAATGGGGATGGGTAATTGGGTTAATTGTTTGATGATTAAACATAATAATTATATTATTGTGGGTTGAAAACCCTATGTACTCACCAGGTTTCCCAACCTGACCCACTCAGTTTATTGTATCACAAGTGTCGATATGAAGTTACATTACACTGAGAGATTAAGGAGATGTAAATCACTAGTGATAATGAATCTAAGTTATGTTTATGCTTATGTTTCTGTATTGACGATGACATCCTAATGTTTTAAAATGAATAAAATACATTTCTTCGGAAATGTTTTGATAACGAATTTATCATTTTTTCTGGGAACAAATTCCGCAACATATTTCTTTAAAAGATATTCTGATTTTCAAAATAAAGCATAAACAAATCGGTCTTTTCTAGCCGTGAAAATGAGGATGTCACAAAACGTATATTTATATTGATGTAAATAAAAAATTCAAAATTTCAGCAAAAATTCACATTGTAAATCTGGCCAGATTCACATTGTAAATCTACTAAAAACTTAATTATATTCGGTTCAGATTCACAGTTTGAATAATAGTATGTCAGATTCACATTGTGAATTTTGAAAACTGAATTATATACAGTGCAGATTCACAATGTGAATAAATTCATTTAATGATTTTATAAAAGCAATTTATGATTAATCAAAAAGTTAAAATATTATAAAATTACATAGAAATATATTTCAATTCATATGTATATTTCACTAAATAAATTTATTAATGATCAAAGAGTTGAAATAATAACTCAGATTCACATTATAAATGTTAAAACTGAAATATTTTTGCAGTTTAGATTCACAGTATGAATCTGAATAGATCAAAATGTTTCTTTTTTTAATCGATGTTAATGATTATTAATACAAGACGAAAAGAATTGAGATTTTGGTATATTTAGTTTTTTTGGGATAAAAATAAACCTAAATATTGAAAAAAAAAACAACAAAACGAAGTGAGTCTTTTTTATATATATATATATATATATATATATATATATATATATATATATATATGTTTTTTATATATCAATATGAATCTCTATAGAAAGACGACGAAAAATCATGAACAATTGTATACTCGGTTTTTTTTTCGATAAAAAACACGGCCTAAAAAATTAAACGAAAAAAGAGAGGTGGACTATTTGGTATAATCCGGTGGATGTGCGTCTAATTTACAAATCTTCAACCATTCTTTTAGCCGCTGATTCGTCATATATATATATATATATATATATATATATAGATATATATATATATATATATATATATATATATATATATATATGACGAATCCCCACTAGTTTTTTTTTCTTTTTTGAACTAGCTAGTGTAATCTACTCCTAATCTAACATCTAAATCCACCAATGTCCACAACATGATTTCAACCCTCGACCTCATATAGGGAAGACAACGTCTGATACCGCTGGACCAGAAACCATTTGGTAAATCCCTGCTAGTTGCGCATGAATACATTTACATTAGGATAACTAATAACAAATATATTTTGCTAAAATGCTCAAGTTAATGACATTAACAATGAAATAAACACTTTAATTAGATTTGTAAAATTAATTGTTATTCTTAAACAATATTACTTGAATTCTTATAAAATAATAAGATACGTTTAACAGTTTTATACAAAAAATTAAATAAATATAAATTGAAAAGTTTTAAAAGTTTCAAATGAATATTGTTAAAGCACAATGATATCCATAATCTATTTCGCTTTTTCATATATTTTATTCTTTTTCATATTTTAGTTTGGATTTAGTCTACAGATTTCGGATATGACATTCAAAGTAAAATTATGAAGTTTTATGCCGTATTAAAAGAATAAGTTCTAACTTTCTCGAAGAAATTAACTTTCTTAAACTATTGCATAAAAGTAGATTAATATTAATTATTATTTATAACGTCAAAAACACTACTAAGTGCAAAAGCTTTTCAAGAATATCAAAGGTTTTTCACATTACATCACTTGCTTTCACTATAATTATAACTAAAAATTTGTAGTTGGCTCTTCTTCACACCACATCTTGATTCGTTTGTTTCGCGGCCAGATTTTTGATTCTCTAAGGTGTTAAATATCTTTTTGAGATACAAAAGTGATACGTATACCCCCGCGGAGGGGGGGGGGGGTAACTTCTTTTTGGAATTTCTGATTTTATGAACGCAACGGAAAATAATAACCAAGACAAGAAAACGAGAAAAAAGATAATTTAATCGACAAGAAAACAAGAAAATATAGATGTGATAAACAATATAGACCTATAGATTGAATATCGATGAAGATAAATCAAGACATATTGATTTGAATTCGAATCAATCTAGAATACGCATCTTAGAATTGACAAGAGGCGAGTAAGCAACTAAAAAGAACAATGTTCTTCAAAAATCATTCAATAATCAATGCAATACAATGCTTCATAATGTTCGACATAGGTGACTATTTATAGCCTTACATTGATTACAAAATAAAAGGAAACTAATAAATAAAAGGAATCTATTAATAAAAGAGAAATTATTAAATAAATGCTAAAAATAACTCAGAATGCCTCTAGAATCTTCCAGCTTTAAATCCACGTAATCAACCAAGCAAGGCCATCGTACCGTTGATCCTAAGTTGTTATCATAACCAATAATAAGCCCTAGCACATTAGAACCAACATGTAAGCACCAACCCATCGGAACCAATGAGAACCCAATGGGTTCTGAGGTTCGCAACCTATCATAATCCAAAGTAGCTCGCAATCGTACCTAACAGCACTCCGAGACTCGCATCGCAATTGGTTCCATTGCGAGAATCGCATCCAAGCTTGTTCCAAAATGGTTCGTATTCGCATCGGATCCACTAGTGACTGTGATGGCTTATGATCGATCGCATCCAGTCGCATCCAATCGCAACGTGACCTGATTTCGTATCCGAAACTAGTTTCGCACTCATCAACCCCTTCGCGTCTAAGATCCTTTTCACATCCATAAGCATGCTCGCATCTAACAACCCATTCGCATCCATCAACCTTTTTGTAATCAAGGTCCAACTTGAAATTTAAGAGGTTGTCTGTCACAATCGTACAAAAAGATATTAAAGAATCATTAATATTGTAAGAATGTACAATTAGAGGATCACACTGAAATAATCAACTATTGGTATGAGAATGCCAATCAAATATGATCATCAACAGAAAAAAAAATCATTTAATTTAAAAAGGTTTTTATTATGATCGTATTTATATTGTTGATTATTTAAATCTTACACACTAAATTTATTTGTTATATTCTCGTATTTTTATAATAATTTAACAAACCACAGTACTTATGATTCTCATAATAAGAAAAGATTATGTTTTTCAAAGATTTTAACCAAACATTATAAATAATAATCAAGGTAATATTTCAAAAAAAAAAAAAGGTGAATCGTGATTGATGAAATGCGGGGCCTAGGTACCCCTACAATAGATAATAGATTGCCCATAACTTATGGGGTGAATAAACGTAAATAATTTATGAAATATACAAATTATTGGGTACAATAGATAGAGTCTCAAATCCTCACACTTTCTCCGACTTGTAACACCACACCACGTGTCACACGTGTGCGTATATAGAGCATTCGCAACTTATAACAATTATTTTTGGCAACACTCAAACGGTATTTATAATTTACTTTTCATTTTTTCCATACCACGTAATCTTTTTACGAATTTTTGACCAAATAAGTGTATTTGAAAAAAATATTTATCAAATAGGTGTACTTTCAAATATATTTACCAAAAGAGTATAGTAATCAAAATATTTACCAAAACAATGTTCTTTTTAACTTTTTATATTTACCAAAAGAGAATAGTAATCAAAATATTTACCAAAACAATGTTTTTTTTTTAAACTTTTTTAACATTTTCAGCTATTGTTCTAATTTTTATTGTTTTTGAATATACATATATTATTGACCTTTTTTTTTTTTTAACTCTTTGCTATACTTATATAAAAAAAAATACAAACATTATCTCATTTCATAATCACAAGAAATTGATTTAATCGCACTAAATGTCCTAAATTTTTAATAAAATTCATTTATAAATAATAATGTTAGACATCTTAAAATAAAACCAAAATCAAACATACAATATTTTTTGGGTATAAATCCAACAATGACTTCTTACAAAGAATTACAAAGAACTGTATTCTACTATTAACATTGATTGCTTTTTTTAAGCTTTACTATAACTCATACCATCCGACCATCACAAGTTCTCCCGCCCAATAACAAAGAATTGTAAGAACATCCATCTAGCAAATTGAACAAAACAGAAATTAAAGATAAAATATAATGCATAAATCAAAATTGAACATAACCATTGGTTACTATTTAACAGGTTTAACAAAACAGAAATCAAATATAATCCAATAACAAAGAATTGTAACAACATTCATTACAATTGTTTCTATTTTGTGTTGTGAGTTATGCAACAATTGATAAGCTACCTGGTTTAACAGTTGTGTTATATGCTAACAGGAACCATAAACTAGGGAAAAGAAGGAAGACCACATCAAAAGAAATAAAACCAACAACAGGAAAATGAATGAAAGCAGACTACAAGAAAAAAAACGAATGCAGTCATCATGAACAAATACGAACCTTAGCAGTGAGGTCGATGTCTTCACAGGGGAGGAGAAGGTTATGGTGGCGAGCAGTGGACGACTCGCTTGATGAGGCAACGACCGACAGAATTAGGGCTCGTCGGTTGTGGCAGTATCGAAATCGAATAACAGTTACAGACTCGTCGGGGTCTTCTGTCGTGGAGACGGACTCGCCGGCGTCAGATGTGACCGGAATCGGACTCGTCGGCATCGCTATGGCCGGAATCGAAGAAACAATCGGGTGAACATCGACGTCGGGGGGTTTATTGGGTTTAGACTTTAGAGTATGTCGTTCAATTCTCTATTTTTTTACTTGGTATTAAATTTTGACCCTAAAGGGTAAATATGTTTAAAAGCACACTTATTTGGTAAATAAGTTTTTAAAAAACACCCTTTTGGTAAAAAACTCATCTTTTTACTCATTCAGTTTTCATTTTTCAAAAAACAGAAAATTATTATTTTTTACTATCTTTTATTTTCATTTTTAAAAATAAAATTAATTAAATTTAAAGTACTATAATTTAAAAAATAAATATAACTTATGAACTTTTAGAATAATAAGATTATTCATGGATTAAACATGTTAATATATAACACAACAAGTATTGATGTTATGATCATATCCTAATATATCAAAACATTATATAATAGTTGCTGTTATAATGTTTCAATATTCAAATACTAAATCCAAATCAAAATCTCATTTCTAGAATAATAAAGTTTTACAACTGAAGTGTGACCATTCATACTTAGCTCTAAGGAAGGACTTTATTAATGGGTTCGACTAAACTTAATTTGTATGAGTTTTGCGAATACTATCATCTCCATATTTGACTTTACTCTAGATATAGTTAAATATCTTTGAGTATATGATTGGTGTTCTTTTGTGACATAAAGTCCCTTAGCTCGATTAAGTATACTCTCAAAGTCACAAAGAATCTATGTGATAATTGAATGGCAGAAATCAACATAGTTGTTCAATGAACTCATTTATCCAATCATATTAGATTTCAACTTCAAAAGTAGTGTATTCTTATTTTGTAGTAGATTGTGTCATTTTGTTTTGCTTGGACCTCATTCCAACTAAACTTACTCTTCATCCCTTAATGAAGTCATAATCCAATTATAATTCATAACTATATACATTTGTTTAGAATCAGAATCATATGTAGCTCTTTATATGAAGATTTTATTCTAAACTATATGTCTCATATACATTCTCTTAGTTCTTCTAAAGTACTCATAGAATGCTCCTATAGTCATCCGATGACTTAACCATGTATTAAATTGGTATATTATGATATGCTCATAACATGATCATATACCAGATCTTATGCATAATATGACATAAATGATGGATTCATTTGCCAAGAAAATCAAATATTAATCATTTCAGCTAGTTCAAACTTATGAGCTAGGTCCTTTTGAGGGTGGCTCAAACTTAGTGCAATGTGACAATGCTAAGGTTCCTCCAAAGGAATCTTCTATCTTAATCTCTTTCAAGACATTGTCAATATATGCATAAGTATATAAAACTTTTAACATTTCTTTTATCTATCTCTATAGATTTTACATTCCAAGAATGTACCTTGTCCTTTCTAAGTCTTTCATTTTAGAAACACATTCCGAGTCAAGGTGAAAAAGCATGACATGGTCAGAGTATAATTTCTTATGATTAAGTATATCTCATTCATACAAGATTAGGAATGTCACTATGCTCCCACTAGTTCTTAGTAAACACACATGTTCTATTCATTTTAATATAAAGTCATACCTTATGGTTTTACATTAAAATGATAATTGCAACATTGAGATGTTTGCTTTATATCCACAAGTGAATCTCAAGCTCTACACATTTTGTTAGGATAACATTGATTAAGAAAACCTCCAGGCTAATCTATATAGATATCATCTAGTAGATATAGAAAAGCGGCATGTGAATCTGTGAATCGCATGTTAGTTAGGGCTAAGGATCTGCTCAATTTTTGCATGATAGAATGCTAGGAGAGATGCCTTTGTATGCCTATTGTATGAGCTTGTAGACTTGCGTGCTAGTACTAATCAGTTAGTGATAGGATGACCTGATTAGGTGAAGCTTGGTTCTGATTACTTGACGCTCGAATACTGCTTGCTTTGTGCTTTTTAGGAGTTCTCACTAGCTTAAGCTAACTAGTAAGCGAATATGCTAAGTTACATATTATGGAAAGTAAATAATTTTAGAAGGTTGGGTTTTAACTCTATTGCGTAGCTCTTGTCTGAGTCCAACCGTTGTAGTGTGAGACCTTTCATTTGAAAGAATTATCTGTTTTTAGTGGTATGTAATTGTACTCGTGAGCTAGTTAGAGGAAGTTAGCGGGAGTTCCTTCTGCAGCTGATGGCAGAGAGTGGTGTGGAGTTTACCCTAGGAAAACCTAGGATGAGATCTAGTGCTGGGGGCCTTATTTTGTTGAGGGTTATTTGTATTGTTATAGGGTGACTTGGCAGATCAAAGAAATCCTTGAGGAATGTACGGATAGATATGGAAGGTAGTATGGGCCCGTGCTACTAGAAGCTGAGGATCCGTACTCGAGTCAAGGAGGGCCGCGATGAAACCAAGAAGCTTGTAGAGTTGTGATCCCTCGATATATTCTGTTGCTTTATATGCTATATTTTAAGTATGGTGACATTGCGAGGCAGACCTGTTGGCAGTTCTGGTGCTGGTGAGGGCTCGGGCTCAGGTTCTGGAGCCGGGCAGCTATATGATCAAACGAGGGAGTTCATCTCATCTGAGATTACACATTGCATTCTTGAGCAGACTCCTGTGATCTTTGGTACGGTCACGGAGGGTATTCTAGAGATTTTGGATGAGCGGTTGAGTGCCTTTCGGTCTGAGATGGTGGCCTTGGTTGCGACACATTCATTGACCTTCAGGGAGTTCCGAGCATGTGGAGCTCCGGACTATGACGGGGCGAAGGACCCGATAACGAGCAAGAGGTGGTTAACAGATGTTGCTAATGCCTTTCGCACAAGCAGTTGCCCTGAGGGGGCAAAGGTCAGACGTGCCTCCTGTGTTCTGAAGGATAGGGCATGAGATTGGTGGGAGGAGGTTGGGCGTGTAGTGAGTGATGAGGCTGTTGATGCGATGACCTGGGATGATTTTGTGACCATGTTTAGGGTTGAGTTCGCACCGGTGATTGAGGTGCAACAGTTAGCGCGAGAGTTTTAGGATCTCCGCCAGACTACTGAGATAGTGGTTGAGATCACTGTGATGTTTCGGGAGAGGGCACTTTTGGTTCCGTAATATGTAGCGGATGAGGAGAATAAGAAGGCTCAGTACCATAAAAAGGTTGAGGAGTGACATTCGGCAGTTTGTGAGCCGATCCAGCTGCAAGACACTGGAGGATATGATTGCGAGGGCTAGAGAGGGAGATTGATCTGGAGATGGAGAAGAAGAGGAAGCCAGATTATGTGTCGAGTGCTGAGCGTTCGGGCAAGAGGCCCAAGGTATCTGATTCCAGGTCGAGAGGCCATCACGTCCGGAGCCGATGTGGCAAGTGCGGTAAAGTGCTGGAGGGGGTGTGCAAGGTGGGTGGTTCGAGATGCTTCAAGTACGGCCGGACTGGTCATATTAGCAGAGATTGTACTGCTACCGCTACCACCACCCCAATATTTGATATTATTTGCTTTCATTGCAATTAGAGGGGCCACAAGAAGGCCCATTGTTCGAGTTTGGTTGTAGCAGGACCGGTGTCAACACCCACTCCTGCAACTCTTCAGATTACTGACGGCCGCCAAGGCCGGGCAGATGCACTTGTGGTGAAGATCATGGCCTTTCAGTTCACAACCGAGGAGGCTCGTGCGACACCAGATGTGGTGACGTGTATTTATCTTTTCTCTTATCTCCTTATTTATGTTGAATTGTTGCTTATATTTATGTGTTTTATTTTAGGATCGTTCCTCGTGAACAATATTTATGCTTTGGTTTTGTTTGATTTGGGGCCTACCCACCCTTTGCGCTTGCACTTAGCAAGAGGGTTTTTGAAGCTCCGGAGGAGCTAGATTTTCCATTAGATGTCGAGATTACAGATGATAGATCTGTTCGGGTTGAGAGGGTTTATCGGGGTTGTACTATTTATTTATTAAGCGAGTATTATCTGGTTGTCTTGGTTCCCATTCCTTTTCGTGGGAACAAGGTTATCGATTGTGAGAAGCAGCTAGTTCGGGTTCGGACCCCAAGTAGGGGAGAGTTAGTGGTTCATTGGGAGATGTAACGCCCGTGTTTCTAGGCTAGGCATTAATGATGATGTAATAGTCTAGGTCAACCTTTGTAACTTGTTTTGAAATAATAAAGATGTATTATTTGATTATTATGTGTTTTATGCTTAATTATTATAATTTAATGAGTTAAGGATAAAAATAAGTGTCGAAGATAAATGTTAGATAAAGCCGATATCTATGAAGAAAGTTGTAGTGGTTGAAACAGGGATTCCGGAGATATTAAGAATACCTAAATCCGAGTTATAACGAAGAAGTTATGACCTGTCGAAGTTTCGCGACAGAGCCGGCACGACACAGTATGACATAAAAAGTAAATTTACGATAAAGCGCTTTTTAGCCTTAGTAATGTAAACGAAAGTCGTAGTGTTCATTAAACCGAGAGCGTGCATACAAAGAACGCCGAAATCTGACTTCGTATTAGGAAGTTATGATTTTTCTAAGTTTCAGCATAGCAGTATGCAGCCCGAAACTCGAATTTTAGATCGAGTGATTTTTAGTTGAAACAACCTAAACGAGAATCGAAGATCTCGTTGTTAGTAGTTTAATGATAAAAAGACAGACGAAAACGGACGTCGGATGAAGAAGTTATGAATTTTTAACGGACTTTTCCTATCCCGGCCTGTTAAAAATATAACTTTAAAAATAAAGTCAAAATTAGCCGATGGAGTCTAAACGAAAGTTGTAGAGCACGGTCTCACCTACGCGTGGATATAAAGAACGTCAAAAACGGAGCTCGTAGACGAAAGTTATGGATTTTAGAAGTTTAGAAAATCAGTGTACCCCCCCGCGTACATAAATACGCCCAGCGTACTCATGTTTGTGATCCGGAGCCGGCCACGTCAACACCTTCTTCGCATACGACACGTGTCACATAGGTTCGACACGTCTGATGCCACGCATCATGCTACGTGCAGCGTACTCGGTGTACGCCCAACGTACTGAGCCGCAATGCATTACGCCCCGCGTAACGAAGTGTACGTCCATCGAA